AATGGGTTGAAGGGTATTATAGTCAATTTCACTATCAAGTTAACGTTGTTAATGCTCTTTTGACTAGAAGGGGGTCTCTGTATATTAATTTCAAAAGTAAGGGAGGTCTGTGTAATTTTTGAAACTACAATGGAGGTCCCTGTAATTAAGGTAAACCTCAGGGAAGGTCAGTGTAATTTACCCTATTTCTTTTTATTTGTTAAAGAAATAATTACATTTTCTCTTTGTTTTAGCAGTATTTTTAGCATTTCTTTTTACAGTGGATGAAGTGGCGAGCTAGTACGGCCTCCTAAAAACCAATGCAGCACTGAATATGCTTTGACACAAAATTTACTTGCAGGAAGTAGCTTGGGGGAAAGCTTGGGAGTTCCTTACAAATTGACCTTGGCGTGAATACTGTTGGGGAGCTATTGCAGTTCTCAGAAGAGAAGCTACAAGAACGTTATGGCGTAAATACCAGGTCCTTATCTATCTCTAAGCACAGTGTTAGAATGTTTGCATTTCCCAAATTGTTAGCAAAATTCATTTGAACAAATCTAACTGGATTTTTCAAAAAAAATCACTATTATCTTGCCCTTTAAATAATTTTAAATTAGTCCAACTCCACTTTAACTGACATGATTTCTTACCTGGTTTGATTCTCCTTTTTAACTTCTTTCAAATCTTGGCCAAATTTTGGCCAGTTCGTGTCACCTCTCTTCCCAAAATTTTCATTGGATTTATCTATTTTTCCTGAGTTTCATTTTTCTAAGTGCAATTATTCCTAGATTTCAAAATGATATCGGTAGCTATACATTTTTCCTTTTAATTTGTGGCCCACTGATCATGACAGGATTTGACCACACAATTTTATGCGACCTTTCTTTGACGTGGTCAAAACTCTTATAGGATTATTGTTTAGCATATAAGGTTTATTTGAACTCTAAAGGATGATGGTTTTGAGCTAGATGCTTATTTGGATGTTACTTCTGATTCCATCGTTTTCTTGCAATTCAGAACTTGGTTATGGAACATTGCCAGGGGAATTAGCGGGGAAGAGGTAGAGGGTCGCCTTCTTCCCAAAAGTCATGGTTCTGGGAAGACACTTCCTGGCCCCCGGGCTTTGAAAAAGATTGCTTCAGTATGTATTTGTTACCTATTAGACTTTCTACAGAATCATGCTGCTTCTGTTATTCTTATTCATTTTAATATTTATTATATTTATCTAAATGTATTAGTGAATCTACATAATCAATTGTGTAGTTGAAGTTTCTTCATTAATTCCTTTTCCTTTCTCTGCATTAATTCACATAGCACTGCAGTTTCTTGATGATATTGTGGTTCTCTTATGTTGACTTGATGTGGCCAGTTTAGACTTGGGATTGATGCTAGATGTGGCTTTTTAACCATTTTATCTAGTTTATCAAAGTTAAAGTGATGCAAACAAGGAGAGGACCGAGAAAAAGGAAATTTAAACAGAGAGAAATTTGGAAGGAAAAAGGGGGGCTTTGTTTCAAGGTGAGATCCACTAGGGACATAAATATCTTTGCAGATCTCTGATTTTTGTTTGTTTGTGATAACTTCTCTTTTCATGGTCCTATAACAGTCACAATTCAGCCACCTAACTCTACTCAATGAAGCCCAAGTCGTTCCAAACCTTTTCCCCTACCCTTTAACCTTTGATTTAACTCCAAAAACCCATAAAATTATTGCTCTCTAGAGCCTTTCAGCACCTATTTTCTGAAATTCCTGTGACCTGCACCATTGAAAAGCAAACCAATTATGATTATTACCCATTTCTAGCTAGAAAACCTAGACATTGTCTTCTACTCTCTAAAACCTCAACCTCGTAAGTTCTTGCCCTAAACCCTCCACAACATTAATTGTAGGAGCATTATTACAAGTTTTCTTAAGGTATCCTACATGCGTATCACCTTCAAAGTCTGGCCACTTACTAGCCCTTCTCCATCCATCGCTCTTAGCACATTTACTATGCCTTTTAGATCCCTAACCTACTAGCTATTCATGATATGAGGCCACTAAGTAATCAATTTTAGGTTGTTCTTTTCTTTGGTTGCAAGTGCCATCAAACATTCAAAAAGCTAGTTTTTATTTGACAAGTAAAGTACTGTATCAGAACTCTATATTAGCCTATTAAGATGTATCATGTTTATTTTTCGTAGTTTTTTATACGGGCTGCACCCTCTTGATGCCTTTTTTTTATTATTATATATTTATCTTTATTATCTTTATTCGTAAAAAATGTTTATTTTTCATAGTTTTATTATTCAAAATAACTGTGGCATGTGCATGTCCAAAATTATGCCTTGGCGATCACCTTTTATTGGGATTTAATTTGTTTATATTGAAGTGCCAGTAATGCCATGTCTTCATTTATAAAAAATTCTTTGGAGATATCTTATGATGATGGTTTGGTCATTCTTTGTCTATTACTCTGTTTCAGGTTGAACACTGGCTTAATGAACTTTGTGAAGAACTGAGTGAACGTCTTCATTCTGACCTGGAGCAGAATAAGCGAATTGCACATACACTCACTTTGCATGCCAGAGCTTTCAAGGTAGTTACTTTTTCGTCTGATTCTCTCTTTCACATCTTAGATAAGCTTTCCGTCTCTGGGCAATCCAAATGTTTGCAAATATTTTGAATACCTCAACTCCAATACCTAGTTCTGTTGATTATGTCATCCTGCAGTCCAGTGACTCTGAGTCGCAGAAAAATTTTCCTTCCAAGTCATGTCCATTGAGGTATGGCTCTGCCAAGATCAAAGAAGATGCCCTAAACCTATTTCAAGCGGGGTTACGTGAATACCTTGGCTCACACAGAATCAAGGCTCAGGGAAGTCACTACAATGGATGGGGAATAACTTCTCTTTCTGTTACGGCCAGCAAAATAGATGCTATTCCATCTGTAAGTTCAAATTTTTTTGTTGTCTCATATTTTATTATCATGCAATGTCCATTTTTGAACAACATAGTTATACTTGTTTGGATATGTAATTTTTAGTAGTAGGAGTTTGCCTTGCCATTAACATGTTATGATGTTTTTAAGCCCAAACCTAACAACTCTGCAAGGATCATACTATTTAACCTGGGTTAAAGAAGCTTCAGAGACCTTATTTATCAAAAAAAAAAAAAAAAAGCTTCAGAGACCTTGATAAAACTATTGACACCTTCTTACTGTTGCATCACATTTGCTCTGTACTTTTGTGGATGTCCAATGAGCATTGCTTAAGTGAGCTTTTACTGTCAAGAATTGAAGTTGGGTTGGTGACAAGTGGAGCTAAGTTTGGTATGACATAGGCTATGCAACTTTGAACAGTTTTAACTTAAGAATTGGACCAAAAAAGACTTAAATTGGTTAGTTTGGTTTCATTCCGTATGGGACTTAGTTCAGTCGGCTCAATAATTTAAAAATTGGGGATGATCAGTTTGGTTTTGATTAATGGATGGGGTAAATATTTTGTCCTTATATACTAATGCTTTCTCACCTTTTAGATTTCACCATTTAATTCTTGGGTTTTTAATATCTTTCCTGGTTTGATATTGCCCTTTATTGTATATTTCTAATAATGATAGCCTATGTTGAGGCATTAAACTCTCTGAAATAACCTTGCAATCTTTACATATTAAGCAACACGCTCTTCTTACAAGAAAATCATCTATTTGACTCTTATTTGACTTACTTTTAAAGGTTATTTAGTGTTCTTCTCCAGCCTCATTTCGGTCTCCAAAAACTATATCCACCATGTATTCTCTCATACCCTTAGTTGTCTTTTTCTACATTACCGTTGAAATCTCCAACTATAATCATCTTCTCTCCAACAGATATTTCTTGCATTAGTTCATCCAATTGATTCCAAAATTGTCCTTTAATATATTCCTCCAATCATATTTGGTCGATACTTTCAAAACCGTTGTGCTGGCTGATACTGATACTGCGATCTAAGACCATTCTTCTAACGAAAACTTTCATGAGATGAGCATATTGCAGTTCATGTAGTGCCTTCAAATTATCTTGTTTCCCACTCATTTAAATATTGAAACATAATTTCTTCTTCTTTTATTATTATATTCAATACTAGCTCTTGAATACTTTTGACAGGGGACATGTTCAATCATGAAATACTTTCATGGCCAAGATCAGTCCAACTGTTCGTCCAAGCAAGTGAATGACAGATTTGTCACAGAGGCTGCACCATTGTCACCCTCTGGTACTGTTCTCATACTGTATGCTGCTTTTTGTTTCTTTGTACTTCAGTTTTACCATTAGTTTTGCAATTTTGGTAAAGTATGGCATTCTTTCAGGAACTGAAAGATATCCAAAGTTGCATACAACTGAACTGCCCATAGAATTCCGTGAGGAAGAAACAAGGATTAGGTATGCCATGCCAAGTCTGGATCAACAGGAAAACAAGGGAGAAGTATCTACGAGAGAGGCTTGCATTTATGTTGGCTTAAATTTAGTTTATTGATTGATTTAATGGGTACCAATATATTGTTACAAGAAAGCTAAGGCAGTTGATGCTTTTACATATGTCAATCTAAGGTTTTAACAACCAACCGCTCTAGAAGCTTAACCTGTTAGAAAGCAGTGTAACTTGTTATTTATATCATCATACCCCTTCAGTAAGCTGTGGAAGTAATGATTGGTTTCACTTGATCACATGACATTATAGCTGCATGACCTTCAACAGTAGCTCTGATGCATCATATCTGATTGTATTATTTGCAAATGGTTTTGTCTTTGTAGGATACATGTGAACCCATGCAATCCACTGATGACCAGGTGATATCTTGTTCTTTGTCCTAGCAGGCACATGATGCTTTCATCCAAGAAACTTCAGCATTGTCATCCTCAGGTAGTGATCTTGCTCCTTGGCTTTGATCCGGTCATTCTTTTCCTTCTACCTTCTTTGTTAATTTCTTTTGTTTTCATTTTATCTTCCTTTTGCATTATTAGCTCATGGATTTGCATTAGCATATCATATGGTCAGTTTTATTTGCGTTAGTCTTTTGGGTCTGTTTCTTATTGAGATTATGATCATAG